GGGGGCGCAAATTTTCCAGCCTAGATAGCACAAGTGACCTGAAGAGTGTCATCATGGGCTTGGCCTCCCTAGTTTTGAAGGTTCTCATTACCCAATCCTGTCATTTTTCTAGCAGATGCGATTGATACAATGTTATGGTCCTTGAAGGTGAGATCCTCCGACATGATCACTCCCAGGTCTTTGACGTTGGTGTTTCGCTCTATTTTGTGGCCAGAATTTGTTTTTGTACTCTGATGAGATTTAATTTCCTCATGTTTACCATATCTGAGTAATTGAAATTTCTCATCGTTGAACTTCATATTGTTTTCTGCAGCCCACTGAAAGATTTGGTTGATGTTCGCCTGGAGCCTTGCAGTGTCTGCAATGGAAGACACTGTCATGCAGATTCGGGTGTCATCTGCAAAGGAAGACACGGTTGCTGTGGCTGACATCCTTGTCTATGTCGGATATGAGGATGAGGAACAAGATGGGAGCGAGTACTGTGCCTTGTGGAACAGAGCTTTTCACCGTAGCTGCCTCGGACTTTACTCTGTTGACGACTATTCTCTGTGTTCTGTTAGTGAGGAAAATTATAGATCCATCGACCGACTTTTCCTGTTATTCCTTTAGCACGCATTTTGTGCGCTATTACGCCATGGTCACACTTGTCAAAGGCTTTTGCAAAGTCTGTATATATTACATCTGCATTCTTTTTGTCTTCTAGTGCATTTAGGACCTTGTCGTAGTGATCCAATAGTTGAGACAGACAGGAGCGACCTGTTCTAAACCCATGTTACCCGGTTGTGTAAACTGATGGGTTTCTAGATGGGTGGTGATCTTGCTTCTTAGGACCCTTTCAAAGATTTTTATGATATGGGATGTTAGTGCTATTGATCTGTAGTTCTTTGCTGTTGCTTTACTGCCCCCTTTGTGGAGTGGGGCTATGTCTGTTGTTTTTAGTAACTGTGGGACGACCCCCGTGAATATCTGACAGGGAGGCAACAACGAGTCATGGTACGCGACGAGGTGTCAGAGTGGGCGCCTGTAACAAGCGGGGTTCCACAGGGGTCAGTCCTAGGACCTGTTCTGCTCTTGGAATATGTGAACGACATAACGGAAGGGATAGACTCAGAAGTGTCCTTGTTTGCAGATGATGCGAAGTTAATGAGAAGAATCAAATCGGACGAGGATCAGGCAGGACTACAAAGAGACCTGGACAGGCTACAAGCCTGGTCCAGCAACTGGCTCCTTGAATTTAACCCTGCCAAATGCAAAGTCATGAGGATTGGGGAAGGACAAAGAAGACCGCAGACACAATATAGTTTAGATGGCCAAAGACTGCAAACCTCACTAAAGGGAAAAAGATCTGGGGGTGAGTTAACACCGAGCATATCTCCTGAGGCAACATCAATCAGATAACTGCTGCAGCATACGGACGCCTGGCAAACCTACGGATAGCATTCCAATACCTCAGTAAGGATTCGTTTAGATCTGTATACCATCTACGTCCAGGCCCATACTGGAGTATGCAGCACCAGTTTGGAATCCACACCTAGTCAGCATGTCAAGAAATTAGAGAAAGTGAAAAGGTTTGCAACAAGACTAGCCCCGAGCTACGGGGATTGTCCTACGAAGAAAGGTTGAGGGAAATCGGCCCTGACGACACTGAAGGACAGGAGGGTCAGGGAGACATGATAACGACATATAAAATACTGGGGCGGAATAGACAAGGGGGACAAAGACGGGATGTTCCAGAGATGGGACACAGACACAAGAGGTCCCCCAATTGGAAGTTGAAGACTCAGATGAATCAAAGGGATGTTAGGAAGTATTTCTTCAGTCATAGAGTGGTCAGGCCATGGAATAGCTTAGAAAGGGATGTAGTGGAGGCAAGAACCATACATAGTTTTAAGGCGAGGTATGATAGAGCTCATGGGGCAAGGAGAGAGAGGACCTAGTAGCAATCAGCGAAGAGGCGGGGCCAGGAGCTGTGAATCGACCCCTGCAACCACAAATAGGTGAGTACAAATAGGTGAGTACACACACACACACACACACACACACACACACACACACAAACACACACCTGCACAAGAAATGGACTGCAAGAAGGCGTTTGACACAGTTCCACACAAGAGATAAGAACATAAGAACATAAGAAAGGAACACTGCAACAGGCCTACTGACCCATGTGGAGCAGGTCCATCACCCCCGAATTGGGACCAATGACCCCCCCCCCCCAGATTAGCCAGTGACCTACCCAGTTTTTGGTCACCTTCACCTCAAGGATGGAGCACTACACCAGACCCAGCAGCACAAGCTAGTCAGGTCCAACTCACACCCACCAACACCCACTCATGTATTTATCTAACCTATTTTTAAAACTACACAACGTTTTAGCCTTAATAACGTACTCGGGAGTTTGTTTCCACTCATCCACAACTCTATTACCAAACCATTTGCTTTCCTATATCCTTCCTGAATCTGAATTTTTCCAACTTGAAACCATTGCTGCGAGTCCTGTCTTGGCTGGAAATTTTCGGCACACTATTTATATCCCCTTTATTTATTCCTGTTTTCCATTTATACACCTCAATCATATCCCCCCTAATTCTACGCCTTTCGAGAGAGTGCAGATTCAGGGCCCTCAGCCTATCCTCATAGGGAAGATTTCTGATA